AGTATTGCTCGAAATGACTAACAATTTAAAATTGTTTTAAAGGTTCTGAATAAGATAATGCCCGAGAAGGACAAAAATAAAATTAGTATTAGACAGTAACGGCAAAATTTTTGCGCTTTCCAAATTATCTTTTCTAAGAACAATGTCTTTTGAATAATTCACTCCTACTCTAAGCATCATTCTTTGCGACACCAATAAGAAGAAAAAGCCCTCTGATTTTGTGTTGTTTTGCTCTATCGAAAAACTTGCAACAGCGACAGCTGCGAGCATTCGCCGAAATTGACTAATATTTATACAATTTTATAACGAAAACCCCGTCGTAGGTTAATATTTTCTTACAAACAGTTTTCAAATTCATGCAAGGGTGGGACAGAAATGCGTATGAAAAGCACCTATTTTGCATAGACATTGTTTGTTGTGAAAGAATGAATATTTAACTCACTAAGGAGAAATTCGTCCACACTTATCAAAAAATGGCGCTTATCTTTGAAAGGATGGTATGAATAATGGATCTCACTTTTGCAAAAACAAACAAGCAATGCTGACTTTTCGACTCTATAAAACCGCTTCTGGAAAATAACTTACGTTTTTCCTTCAAAACAGGGCTAAAAGGCTCCATTTTGTAAGCATCTCCTAAATTTATCAGAAGTGCTAATTATAGCTTTCGTCACCTTCAGATCAAATTATGGTTTATCCCTTGTCCTCCTAAGTTTACTGGAAGGATTCAATGTAATCTAAAAATTATCGCTTAATCATGGTATAGCAGAAATACTCTCATTGTTGCTGTGTCTACAAGATCCGTTATATTCGCTCATCCTGTCATACGAATAGCTGCAAATCCAGTGCTATTTTTGTATTTTTCTAGGGGAAAACCAGTGATCGTTGATCTATTCTACATTCATACTTTTTATACTGTTTTTGCCTCTTCTTTTTTGTATAAGACGCTATTTGCCACTTATTGCCAGATCCTCGTTTCTTTTACCACGCAAAAGTGCCCATTGGAGCAATTGCCATAAAATGCTTAGACTGCATAAT